TCTTAGAGCTGTTCCAGTTCCAATTTTCAGAGTGCATTTTTTTGATGTTACCGAAAGCTGTTTTTGTTTACCTATAAGGAGGAAGAATTAATTAACATTAACAACAATAAGCAGTTGCTTTAATGACTGTCTATGAAAACACAAGAACTCTGTTCACAATTTGAAGAACCTCTTGAAGAGGAGGAGATGACATTCTGAGTGAGTCAGAGGGAGAGTAATTATAAAAGCATCATTACGCCTCGTCTGTTTGCTCTCCCACAACACATTATGTATACACATACTAACTGCTCCATCTAAGACRTTTTTCTAGCATTTGCAAAAACCTTCTCAGAAACAGTYAAAAAMCTCAAGTCTTCCTGGTAAGAATAGGTAATGAAGAAGGAAACCGGTCCACTTGATTAACTTCAAGGTTCAGAAACAATCAATAGATGTCTGGCAGGATAAGTATTGATTGACAGATAGATCTTATCTTGCTCACTCACTCAGGAGGCCACTCTCATCATCTAATACACACTGTTTCAATTTTAAATAGTTGCCTTGTGTTTAAATKGCATGTAGTTGATTGTAAGAAAATAGAGGCACAGGACCCAGCCTCTAATAGAGTTGGAGGGTGCAGGTGTGACAAAAATCTCATGTAATGAGTTCAGAATTTTCCAATTGTGTTAGTTCTTCATCGCAAGCACATAAGAAATGAATGTGCAGGCTGTTACTGTGAGTTTTTTTTTTTTGAAGACAATGCAAAAGAAAGAAAGACAAATTGCTAAAATGGGATATGCAGAAGTAGAGCAACAGAAAACACTAGCAAGAAGAAGAAGGGCCAGAAGATAGCTAGAGGCTGACAGGACATCACAATTTGGTCATTAGCACAAGCTCATGGAAGAATCATGACAATAAGATGCTAGGAGCAATGCCACACCAATGTGTCATAGATATAAATAAGTTAGTGCTAGCAGTCAGAACTGTACTGCCTGCAAGGGTTTAACAAATTGACTTTTGAACCCATCACAAGCCAACCATGACATGACAGATATATCTCAGGTGTCCCAGAGATAAAAATCTGCAAACATCACATCCTTGTGCTTCAGTTGTTCAACACAGTGATCACTAGAAATCAATACCACTAATAGATGTGTGCTGGGGGAAGCATCCCTGGGGAAGTCTGCTGACCTGGACACCAACTGTGTAAATCTGAACAACAAAAACTGCTCCCATATGCTGAGTTGTCTATCGGACTCGAGGTTTCTGACAGTCAGTGCTGCAGTTTGTTGTCAGGGCTTCAGTCTAATGTAACTCCATGGCTTTAACTTGAAATACTGTATTTATTCATGTATAATACTAGAAATTTAACCCTAAAAAGTCATCCATAAAACAGGGGGGTAGTATTATACACAGGTTGTTGGTGATTAGATTTTTTTATGCTTTTTAAGCTCAAAAATGATGATTGTATTATACTCAAGATCGTATTATATATGAATAAATACGGCAAATATTGTTTTATTATTATGTATTATGCATCAGGGTCTAAGAATCAACAAAGAACATCAGTTATGAAATTACAATGCAATTGAACAAACTTAATGCATACACTATGCTAAATATTGATGCTAAACATCACAAATAGTTCAAACTTGTTTAGTTTTAAAGATCCAGATGTTTCACAATTGACCTAAACCACCTGTTTTGAGTTAGTAGTGTTAACCATGCCACATTTTATGCTCCCTGCCCACCTGCCCTCTGCTTACTGTCACTCTGCCACTCCCACCTGACTTCAGATGCAATCAAGCTCATGTGTTTCACCTGTTGTCTAACTCGTATACTCCCTTCTCACACCAAGTCTCTGCCAGATTATCGAGCAGTAGATGTCCAGTGTTTCTTTTAAGTCCTGATCCCCTGTTAATGACCTCACACCTGTTTCCTGGTGTCTTCTAACTGCCCACCCCTTGTCTGGTTTGTTCGGCTTTTCTGTTTCCTGGATTGTGACCCTGTTTCTGCCCACTCAAATTAAGGATCTCCCTCAGGATTTGTTCAACCTCTGACTCCTCGTGTATGAACCCCACCACCCCCACTTTGACCATGCTTGTTTTTTTGTTTATTTTTTAATTTTTTTACTTAAATTAGGACAATACATACATTATTAATCAACATGTCAACAGTAAGCAACAATGTAAATATGCCGGAGTTAGCACAACAGCTAGCGAGCTTGCTAGTTTAAAGCTCATCTCTCCGTTGCATCAACTCACTGCATTAAAGGCCTCCCTCTCGCCCACCACTCCTGGTGATGTCAGTACTGAAAGCACTCTTTCAAGCTCTTAGGGGTTTATCTTCAGTAATGAATTTCTCCTTGCGTTCCTGTTCATGGCCAGTTTTATGTTCCTCAGCATGCTGTCAGTACCTTTCAGCCACTTACCTGTGTTCTTTCTTTAGACCAGTCCAGTGAGAGGTTCCTGACTCCCACCAGCTGCTTTATTATGATAAACCTTGTTAAATGTTCACTGTGTCCACATGAACTTTTGAATCCATACCTCTGGTCCTGTCACCCCACTGGGAAATTTTCTCATTTTCTCCTGTGTTTAGCACATTCTGTTGTTATAGTGTGCATGAATGAGTGCAGAGCAAGATTAATGAGTTTAGTTYACTAATTTTAGTAATAAGCTTCTCAACTTAACAATTTTACTGCATTTTATTAAATCAGACCAACCTTTTTTCCCTCACCACTCATTGTTTGGTTAGGGTTTTGTATGTCCAGATACCTCATTTTCAGAAAAATTGGGTCTGGGGGTGGGTGGGAGCACAGATTGGTGGGCCTGATGGGTAGAGCTTCATCAGAGCTAAACAACAAAAGAAATCTGAAGCTCCTGTGTTGAACAGTTTCTGAGTTATAAGCATTTTTGCATGTCCAGACATCCCCTAATTGGATGGAGCCCCCTCCTCAAATATGGAGTGTATCGTCAAACCGTTGGCTGGCGCAGTGTAGGTCGAATTCATCTACAGTCCTGCCAAATTTAATGTTGATCAGTGTAGCCATTTTTGTTCTACGGTTGACCACAAATCACTGAAAAAAAACAGTATGAAAACAGTAAGCGGGAATCATAATATTGGCACTCCCAGTACTTACGTTGTTACTTTCTCTGCCCCTAAGTTGCTGTCTCTATTGCAACTAAACAGGTAGCTGTCAGATACCTCTCTCTCTTCAGGCTGACTCTAAGACCTCCAGATGTTCCTCAACAATTTTAAGCAACTTTTGATGTAGCATTTCAAAATATTGGCACTCACAATACTGACATTTTAGTATTATGGATTCCCCAAGTTGCTATCTCTGTTGCAACTAAACAGCTAGCTGTCAGATACCTCTCTCTCTTCAGGCTGACTCTAAGACCTCCAGATGTTCCCCAACAATTATGAGAAACTTCTGATGTAGCATTTCAAAACTAGATGCCGCATAGTGTTATAATGACCCCCGCACGCACAAATGCACCAGAACTCAGAAATCTTTATTCCTAATAAATGTCATGCTGCTAGGTGCATCCCAAAATTGTAATGGTTTGGGTGGGGGTCTTTTTTTTGGGGGGGGGGGTGGCATTGGTTAACCTGATGGATAGCTCCTCACCAGAGCTAAACAACCAAAGAAAACCTGAAGCTCCTTTGTTTGTTGGTTTCTGAGCTATAACCATTTCTGTATGTCCAGATACCCCTTTTTCAGATAAATTTGGGGTCCGGGGGTGTGGGGGGCACTAATTGGTGGGCCTGATGGATAGAGCTTTATCAGAGCTAAACAACAAAATAAATCTGAAGCTCCTGTTGAACAGTTTCTGAGTTATAAGCATTTTTACATGCCCAGACACCCCCCCTTTGAAGGGAGCCCCCTCCTCAAATATGGGGTGTATCGTAAAACCGTTTGCTGCCGCAGTGTAGGTCAGACTCATCTAAAGTCCTGCCAAATTTCATGTTGAGTGGTGCAGCTGTTTTTGTGCTACGGTTGACCAAATATCACTGAATAAAAAAAAGTACGAAAACAACATGACTCCTGCTTACATTTTGCGTGCGGGGGTCATAATTATTAGTAAAGTCCTGATACATGAACACAAAACTTAAAGCCAAGCCACAAATATTAAGTAAAAGCTGAGCTTTTTTTCGAATGGACAAAACAATCATAATGAACAAATTACACAGATGCTAGGACTACTGTGTAGATGTTTATAAAGAATACACATACTGTTAGTTTTTTTTTATTA